CGACGTTAAATTTAAACATTTAACGTCATCTCGTCATCTAACCGACGTTATTTGTCCGTTACTACGCTCGGATTTTTTATAACCGACGTTAAATATTGTTTCTTAATTACAAGTTTGCCACCGCATCTTGTACAACGTCGGTCTTCATAAAAACCGACGTTGGATGCTGTCGTAGTAAGTGTTTTCTGTAGTAGTGTGTTCCTAGACGTCAGAACGGACGACGACGACAACTATAAAAACATTTTAAGCAATAAAAAATACCGCTTACAATAAAAAGATCCTTGACAAAGTCGTATCATTCATACAACATCATTTCATAAGAAAAAACCAAGAGAGAAAATAAATGTAGCATGTATACACATCATTTTAATAGTGCATGTATTTTTGTAGTGCATGCATAAACACATTCGTTCTAGGATGCATTAGATATCTTTAGATAATAGTGAAAGAGACCCAAGTGCATTTATAATCTTCCTAGAAGAGATAAGTGCGCTAAGGTATGATGGTAACCTTTTGAAAAAAGGGAACCATCACACCAAGGTGGGTATGGTACTCCCTAAAGCATAAGCTTTTAGGAAAACACCAAAGCTATGGTCTAAGGCATATCTATCCCACATTGATCATTCATAATTAAAAAAAACAATAATAAAAATCTTTAAATCATTTAGAAAGTGGCTGGTCTTCTACCTGTTCTCACTCGCGCTTAAAAAGCCAAGAAGATGGAGCAATTAGAGGAGCAGAACCGTATGCTCACCGCTGAGCTTAATGTCATAAAGGAACAAATAGCATAGTTGACGAAGCTAATGTATTAGCAATGCTTCCACAATAGGGTCTCTGAGCAACAAATTTTTTCCCTAGAAGAGAAATTAAGGGCATTAGAAGGATACAACTTTGATGTAAAGGAGGTAACCGATGTACGCCTTGTCGAAAATACTCGATTCCCTCCCAAGTTTAAGAAATCCCACGCATCATTCAAGAAGTCCTTTGGCAAGAAGAAAGAGGGGAGCGTAAATGCCATCAACCTCACTACCCCTTTTTCCTATTCACAACCATCTAGGCAGTCACGCAGACAAGAGAAGAAATTCACTCCCATTCCAACCTCCTATGGAAGTCTGCTGCCATAATTGATAAAGGACCATCTCCTAACATATGTCCCTCCAAAGAAGATGGATCCACCCTACCCAAAATGGTACAAACCTAATGAGAACTGCGATTACCATTCAGGCGCTCCTGGGCATTCTGTGGAGAATTGCATGGCCTTGAAGTATAAGGTCCAAGATTTGTTAATGCTGGGTGGATCACCTTCAATGCTCCCAACGTGAATATCAAGCCTCTATCACAACCAGAATAGTGAGTCTGGGTAGACAAGGCCAGCTAACTAGGGCTCCCCCATGTTGTGCATCTTTTGGTTAAAAATAAAAAATAAAATAAAAAATAATAATAATAAAGCTTCCAATGCATCTCTCGTGGTCTCTGCCCGTGGCCGCGAGATCTTTTGATTAAAAGGGGCTCTGTATATATTTCTCTTTTCATCAATACAACAAGGAATTTTTCATAATATTCATATTCTTTTTGTTCTTTTCTCTCTCACTCCAAAATAATTAAATAAAATCTAAAACCAAATAAGGACCATATAAACAGTCATGTTTGTGATTGAAAACTCTCTGCGGGATCTGAAAGCCGAAGGCGAATGGATTGAGTCAGACAGTGAGGAGGGGACCATTTCCTCGGACATGCAAAGACTGTTGGAAAAATAAGCTCAATTGATACACCCCCATCAGGAAAAACTTAGGCCATCGATTTGGGACAAAGAGATAATAAGAAAGAAATAAATATCGGTACCCAAATTGATAATATCAGGGAAGGGGAAATAACACCTTTGCGATTATTCATGCCTCGTCCTTTCCCTTATACATTTGATAAAGCTGTACTGTGGATATGCACAGAAGAATTGTCCGTCAATGAAGATATCTCCAATATAGCCGGCATTGGGGGCAGGACGACAAGCAAAAGAATTTATTCACCTGAGGAGCTACAAGATAATGCTCCTAAAAACAAAGGAAAAATAAAGAAACTGAAGAGGAAAAGGAATAAAGAATCCAAGGGGAAGATTAAGTAGACCTTGGATTCACGGTGCTAGGGCAGATTCTTCAATGTTCCATAGAAAAATCAAATTCGTGGTAGGCGACAAGTTGATCATGGTGCAAACTAAAGACTACATTCGAATCAGCGAGCCGTCCACCATACCTTAAACGGATGCGGCTGAAGAGGACATTTGCCAATATGGAAAGACTTCCCAGTAATATGAAAGTGGCCCATGTCGCCGCCGTCAGAACGAGGCGGTCAGAGCGACACGATGGTTTCCAACTTTCCATTTTTCACGTTTTTATTAGTGTGGTTACAACGCCTTTAGGTTGTCCGACAACCGGGCTGAACCTAGGGGCGAGGTTTTCGAAAAGGCGTTCTTGGATTGTCCAATAACCGGGCTAACCCAAGAACTATTTTTGAAGGGTTCTTTTGGAGTCGCGACCGATGTTTTTACCTGAAACATTGGAAAAGGAGTGAAAAGGCGTTGGTTTTCGAAAAACCAACTTTGGTCATTAGAACCAGAGTTGGGTAAGGGAGTTAGTTACGTGTAAGGGAAGTGTTAGTTCCCTTACGACGCCACTTTCGGGTTCCCTATGATAGGACAACTATTCTAAGTAAATAAACCGGTGAAAAATACGCTTTTACCCATTTATTTGCGGAATTTAAATTTATGACTACATGGCCCTAATGTCTATTGCGTAATTTAAAATAAGGCAGTAAAAGATAGAGAGAGAAAGTAGAGACCTCTGAAGCAAGCTTTCTATTAATTCTTTGAAAATTACGGTGCTTTTTGGCAACCCGTCACTCTTGTACAGCGCTGGAATCTCTCAAAAACGCTATAAAAACCTCTAAAGACACTCAGAAGCTCCGAAAATGCGTCAGAGAGATTCTAGAGAGAGAATCTAGTGATGTGACTAGAGAGAGAATGAGAGAGGTATGTGGAATGAGGGGAATGGAGGCCCTATTTATAGGGATTCGCGTCTGTCAGGTCGAGACGGCTGTCTCGTCTGACAAGGTCGAGACGGTCGTCTCGACATTCCAGACCACCGTCTCGCCTTGCAGGAATGGCGAGACGGTGGTCTCGCCAAACGAGATGGCGGTCTCGCCACTTGCGCTAGGCGAGATGGCGATCTCGAATTTGAGACGGCGGTCTCGACCCTAAAAGGCGAAAATCCTTATTTTTGTGCCAAAAATCCCTCCTATCCTAGTATGGGGCCTAATAGTCTCTCCTAGTGGCTTCTTAGGCTTTGTCCATCTTCGAAAAGGAGGTCTTCTGATCTTTATTGTGAGGTCAGGCAAGATTTGGTGTCTACAGCTGCCCTCCCTTTACCTGACTAGTCGGTTGTCGGTTTGTTGTGCCAGACAGATCGATAAGAAGGTAAAGGAGTTGACCCTCCTGTCCGGTTACCCTTCGGATGTTCCGTCTTGCAACGGTTGATCTTTTGGGGAAAACTTGTGTTCGTGCACTTCCGGGATACTCCTTCTGACGGTAGCCGATCCCTTCGGTGGACACGTGGTAAAACCTCAGGATACTCCTTCTGACGGTAGCCGATCCTTTGGTTGATGGGTATAAACCCCCCATCAGGCTGGTAGTTGCAGTTCGTTGTGTGTCGAACTGGATGGGTATAAACCCCCCCACAGGCTAGTAGTTGCGACTTACTGATTCGGCTCGAGCGCAGATCAGGCGCACCGCGTGCGCAGGTTGATAGGTATCAACCCCCTATCAGGCTGGTACAGTCCACTGCGTAGGACTGGTGGTGGTGGCGGCTTACTGCTCGGGTGGCACATGCGCCCGGTGACTCCATGGGGAGTGATTTCTGTTTTGGTAAATGTTTTTGGACCTTTCGGGTAAAGTCTTCCGGTGTGTCGGGGATTCTTTGTTTTTTGGCTTTTCCTGATAGCCATCCAGCTTGTTGTTTGCTGGGGATTCTTTGTTTTTTATCCTTTGGTAGTGGTCATCCGACTTTGCTGGTTGTCGGGGATTTTCGATGAGTACCTCTTAGGTAGGCAGAAATCCTCTAGGGATTTGCTGATTTTGGTGACACCTCTTGAGTAGGCGGATATCCATTGAAAATTTGTTGATTTTGACAGTGCCTCTGAGTAGGCAGATACTCCATTGAGTTTTTAGTAATGCCTCTGAGTAGGCAGATGCTTCATCGGAAGTGAAGACTTTTGGCTGCATTTCTTTTGCCTCTAACTAGGCTGATATTCCCCTAAGGGGATGTTGGCTCTTGCTTGCCAGGTCTTGCCTATGTGTAGGCAAATGACATTCTGAGGATGAATATGAAGTTTTTCCTTTGCAGTAGGCTCATTGGGGATGATCTTTCTTTTTGATTGATCCACCGGGGAATTGGTTGACTTCTCGGGGGTCAGATTTTGGTAGCCCCTTTGGGGGAATGGAATCTTGGCTCCTTACTTGATGTGGGTGCGAGCTGACTTTTGTGGTGCTCTTATTCTGTTTGAAGGAATGGAATTTCCAATTCCTTCTTTTTTGTTGACTTGATTGACTTGATGTCGCTTGATTGACGACTTGCTCCATTTTCTTGAGGGAATTATTTAGAGACTCAATCTCAGTGATCCTGTTTTCAATCACAAACACGGAGCTAGTCTCCTTATATGTATGAATGCTTTTCGTTTTTTGTTATTTGTCTGAAGTAATTTTTATTTCTTTCATTTTTGACATTGACAAAGTTGTTTTGTGCGACTACTTGTGTGTGGATGCCCTAAATGCAATCTATTATTTTTTATTGATGCATCTGGAAAAGTGACTGGCATTCTCCTGCTGGACTTTTTATGATTATGATGAAGGGCCCCTCTCTTTTATTCATTTTTTGGTTTAGCCCTATCTTTTGCCTAGACCGCCCTTTTTGGGGTTTTCGGTCTAGCGGGCTGCCTTAAAATTTGCCTAGGATATCTTAGCGGGCTTTTTTCCTTTTTTATGAATGCCCTAACTTTTGCCTAGACTGCCCTTTGCAGGTTTTCAATCTAGCGGGCTACCCTAACTTTTGCCTAAGAATCTCCTAGCAGGCATTATTTTTTATTTTCATTTTTTGTTTATCTTCTATTTTTGAGAGATAGGACCCTATCATATGCATGTAATGTTTGCGATAAGCATCCTATAATGCTATTTCAATTAATATTTCAAAAGGATTAATCAAATGTACTTTTACTTCTGATGAGCTTCTGACATCATGTGCTTTCGTTGACAGGATAGGTTGTACCAATTTTTCCATCTTGACTTTGTCGTGACCAAAGAATGATGGTGTTGATTGCAGAGCGACTTGCCATGTCGGTGTGCCCCTCCCTTTCCTTGGGGATGTCAATCCTCCTATTGATTACTATCTCCACATTTCCCTACTAATTACTAGAATAATGTCGTAGTGATAAGGGTCAAGAGAAAAGAAGGAAGAGGATATTTAATTCAAAGGATTGTGTTTTAGAATTGTTTTATTTTGACAAAAAATGGTTTTTGTAAGCACGACTAGCCAAGGTTGGTTAGAGTGTTTAGGCTATTTAGACAAACGTTTTGTTTATGGTATGGCGTCTTATTCTATGGCGCTTGCTATGACTGATTGACTTCCCTAGTTCACCATTTGGGTTCTCAATCTAGGATGTTGTGTTTTGTTTTGTCCTAACTTTTGTCTAGGTTTCTTTTTTTGTTGCTTTGGGAAACCTAGCGGACTTTATTTTGTAATCCTAGTTTTTGCCTAGGCTACCCTTTATGGTTGTTCGGGTTTCCTAGCGGGTTTACCCTAACTTTTGCGTAGCCCCCTTGGTGGGTTTCCTACCGGGTATCTTGCCTTTTATTTTTGGCCTTTGGCTTCTATGAGCTTCTTTTGATTTTATTTTCTCTTTACACAATATTGGCGAAACACAACTTTATTATGATGAGGTAAAACTTTATTTTGTGCTTCTAGTCAATCAGTGGTGATGGATTTGACTTTTATTTTGGTCAATGGCGCAGTTTGATTACTTTGACGTGTTTTGAAAATGTTTGCTTAAACATGGTTATTAATGACGTTTAAATATGAATAGCAAGAAGAGAATCAGATAGTAAGAATGACATTCTTTGTAATTAATAGGTGTAGACCCCAAATCTTGCCCCGCCTCCAAATAAAGAGTAGAAGACCTCCTATTCGAAGATGGATGAAGCCTAAAAAGCCACTAGGAGAGACTATTAGGCCCCATACTAGGATAGGAAGGATTTTTGGCATAAAAATATGGGTTCTCGCCTTTTTGGGGATGAGACCGCCGTCTCGAAATCGAGACTGCCGTCTCGCCTCATGCAAATGGCGAGACCGCCGTCTCGCCAAACGAGACGGCGGTCTCACCACCTACGAATGGCGAGACGGCGGTCTCGCTTTCCCAGACGGCGGTCTCGCCACCTGCGAATGGCGAGACGGCGGTCTCGTTTTTCCAGACAGCGGTCTCACCACCTGCGAAGGACGAGACGACGGTCTCGTTTGGCGAGACGGCGGTCTCACCACTGTCAGGCGCGAAAACCTATAAATAGGGGCTCCCTCCCCTCATTTCCACACACCACACAACATTCTCTCCTCCGTCTCTCTAGGATTTCTCTCTCTAGAATCCCTCTGACGCATTTCCGGAGCTTCTGAGTGTCTTTAGAGTGATTTCTGAGCGTCTCGAGAGGTTTTCGGCGCTGTAGAGTGAAGGGTTGCCACAAAGCACCCTCTTTTTAAAGAGAATTAATAGAAGAAGCGTGCTTCGGAGGTTTATATTCTCCCTCTCCACTTTTACCGCTTTATTTAAATTACGCAATAGATAGGGCCATGTAGTCATAATATTTTAATTCCGCAAATAAAAGGGCAAAAGCGTGTTTTTCTGGTTTATTTATTAACAAAATAGTTGGTCTGTCATAGGGAACCCGAAAGGGGCATCGTAAAGGAACTAACACTTCCTTTACACGTAACTAACTCCCTTACCCAACTCTGGTTCTAATGACCAAAGTTGGTTTTTCGAAAACCAACGCCTTTTAAACTCCTTTTCTGATGTTTCCGGTAAAAACATCGGTGGCGACTCCACATAACCCTTCAAAAATTAGTCCTTGGGTTAGCCCAGTTATCGGACAACCCAAGGACGACCTTTCAAAAACCTCGCCCCTAGGTTAGCCCAGCTATCGGACAACCTAAAGGCGTTGTAACCACCCATAAAAAACGCGAAAACAAGAGGGTCAAAACCATCGCGTCGCTCCGACTGCCTCTTCTTTTTTGACGGCGGCGACAATAGGGAAATATGTGCCCTAAAATGCTCGGGGGTCGGGCTAGCCCTGAGGAGTAATCTCTAATAGTTATTGGATTTACAAACCCTAAGAATCAGAAGGAGAACACCTAATGACTAAAGTCTCTTTTGACGCTTGGACCCCTTTGTTTGGGAAAATCTGATTTGAGCTGCAGAGGGGAGACTTCCCTTTTCTGCATGTAGCTTGATTCTTTGTAGGGTCATGCCCTAGGCCAAGATTGTCTTTAAAATCTGGTGGCTCCCTTATTCCTTGAGAGTTTCTAATGAGTCCTTGGTTTGGGTGGCATCCATATTTCCTCATGATGTGGGTCACCTTCATATTGTTGGGGAAGTCTTTTCATATTGGCAAAAGATATTTCAAAGGTCCTTTTCAGTCGCATCCATTCAAGGTAGGGCAAACGACTTGCTGATCCGAATTTCTTTTTTAGCTCAAACCGTGACCAGCTTGTCGCCTACCGTGAGTTTGTCTCTTTGGCGGAGCATTGAGAGAACTACCTTAGCGTCGTGAATCCAAAGTCTACTCAGTTTCCTCTTTGGATTATGTTTTCCTTCGGTCTTTTATTTTTTCTTTATTTGTAGGAGCGTCATCTTACAGCTCCTTGGGGGAATAGATTCTTTCATTTCTAATTTTTCCCCCAATGCCAGCTATGCTGGAGATATCCTCATTGATGGGCGATGTTTTTGGTATCTCCACGGTACCACCTTATTCGATTTGAGGCGTGAACAAATGTAACGACCTCCTTGCCCCCTCTTCCTTATTATCTTCTTTAGGCGGATCAACTGTTGGAGAGAACTTGACGACAAAAGGTTTGCTCTTCATCTTATTCCAATTCATGGAAAGCACATCAATTAATCCTTTCTTTTTATTATCTTATTATTATTAAAGTAAGAAAGAATGCAATTTATGAATGCAATTTATGAATACAATAGACACTTGAAGAAATGATGAAAACAAACAGTTCTATTTATTTCATGCAGACAGTGTACATTCCTCAATGCAATTTTTTGAAGTACATTTTTTTTAAAGTGGAGAAGCCTAAATGAATCCATAGGCAGATTATAATTTCTATTTATTTTCTTTTTGACTTCCTGTGCATGGCATGCGAATGCCCTAATTCTCTTTTCATGGTATTGAGGAATGTCCACTTCTTCGATTGTCTATTATTAGATGCATGTTATGAGGATGAAGTTTGGTGGATGCATGTATGCAAGTGTTTGTTTTTTCCTAAACATTATCATGTTTTATTTTCTAACATGATGTATGATAGTGTTTGGGATTTTGTGTTTTTTTTTGTATGCGGATGAGGGCATGAAGAATACTAGCCGCTTTCTAGAATGAAAAAAGATTTTTATTGTTTAAAATGAATGATTTATGAGATGGATATTCCTTAGAATGAATGTATTTATGCATGCACCAATACAAAGGGTGGTAGATGTTCAAAGTGGCATAACTTTTGACTGAGATGTCCGATTTGGACACACAACATATCAAAACGAAGGGAAAAAGGTGAGGAATCAAGATATAAATATCCGGAGGGGATTTGACCCAGTAATTTTCCCAAAAAACGCTTCTAAGACCCATTTTTTAGGGATTTATTAAAATGATGTGTATGCATACTTTCCTTATGCATTTATTTTTTTCTCTT